TACTGTCCCTCCTAGTGCACGCGTAGCAGCGATGTCCACTATTACCAATCCTGTTAACCCAACTGTTAGTCCTGTTACCTCTGCGCAATCTACCGGTATAACGGTACGAATGTCCATACAGCAAGTCGGAGTGACAGAAATGATGCTTCCTGGACAGTACTGTCAATCAAAATTACTAGGGCGCTCTGGTAGCAACGCCTGCACTATTATCTGTTTGTTGGCTGCTATAAAGTTTCTACAGAAACAATTCTACCATGGATCTACATTTGAAGCCGGTGTTCTCGTCAACTTTATCCCTATTATGGTAGATGGCAACAGTTTGTATGATTCTCTTGTCCCCACACAAGGATTTCTTGACGTGAATGAAGCCATAGAAAYCCTTGGCCTTAGCAGTACTGCCTATGTTGACGAGTGCAATGGCGTGGTGGACCTATCCCAATTTACGTCACTGTGTACCAAGTTTTTTAACATTGGTGGGGCCCACATCCTAATTTTGCCACCCGCTACTACAGTGATTGTTCTGGCGCACAAGAACACCAACCTTACCCTCTTCGACAGCCACTCTCACGGCAATGATGGTGCATTGGCTTTTTCTGCTAACTGCCCGAAAACATTTGCAGCATACGTACAGAGATTCGTGAACTCTAATAGCCACCTKACAGGAATTCTTGGTACCAATATTTTTACTATTGGTCTGCGTTTGTGAAAAACTGTGGAAGAAAGTTTTTTGTCTTAAATTTCTCATTAAATTTGAAAATGATCAAGTATATCTCACCCAAAATACATTTTCTAATAARAAACCGATAGTTAAACTTTCAATAGAAGACAAAAGATTAATATAATTTACTATTATTCTGTATTAGAGTACAACTGTGCAACAAYTTGTACAAAATAGTGCTAATTAAACAATAGAAAAAAATAGAATTGGTATAATTTAGTGGTATATACGTTGCGCGCTTTTGATGATTYTACTCTATAATTACGTTGCGCAACTTTATTAAGAGTACTAAAGGCCCGCGCAAACGGCTTTAACATTTGCTTCAACATATATCGACTTTGTTGAACGGTGTTGAACGATGTTAAAGCAAGGGGTCGCAAACGGCTTCAACATTTGCTTCAACATTCCGTTCAACATGACTTTCCTGAAACAGTGAACAATAGGAATCACCTTAAAAAAAAAACAGATTATTGATCATGCTCCTGTTCAACAAAGTTGAATGAACGGCGCAAACGTCTTCAACACGGCTCGGCTTGAACATTCTTCAACATTTCCGAGAACAAAAGAAATGTTAAAGCGAATGTTGAAGCAAAGTTTAAACACTTTTAAACTTCGTTCAACATCATTTCAACACGTTTCAACAACATCGAAGTGATGTTGAAGCAAATGTTGAAGCTAAATATGAAATTGAACAAAAAAGCGTTAATCCCTATACGATAAGGAAAATGTATACGATTTATTTTCGCGGGCGCGTAATAGAGTCATACTGTATCAGGTTCAMTGTTTCGTGTATACCTATGAGACAATGAATAATTTGAGT